CATTAGCCTTGCCCTCCCTGTGCACCCCCTGAGAAACAGAGGTCCATTAGTGGAAAGAACAGGACCCTGAATTGGATTTAGCTTCAAATTCTGACTTCCCCACTTAAAAGCAGGCATTTAACCATCCTGAGCCTCATTTTTCTCATCTGTAAAATAGGCATAATGTGACCTCAACTAACTCAACACATATTATTGGGGTGGGGGTGGCAAAAAGGACCTAGTCTCCACCACGTGGAACTAGACTTCAGAGGTGAAAGGCAATCTTAACAGACTACAGTGTAAGTGCCATGAAAGGCACATGTTATAAAATTTGAGATGTAAGGGTGCTTAGTCACATCCTAATTTTCTGAAAACTGGCAGTCACTACATAGGAAATACCATATCTCTCAATCATACTTTTCATTAACCAGAGTATCCATACTTCCAACTACTGAGTATCCAGCTATGCAAACACACGGAACAATTTCACTTCACTTAGCGCGTCCATTTCCACGCGGGAGGTACTATTATTCCCATTTTGTGGGGGAGGAAAGGAAGCACGGAGAGGCAAGGACCTTGCCCAAGGCTATCCTGTGGGTACAGGGCCCTGTCTTCTGCGATTGGCCCTCTGCATTAAGCTTTGAAATGCAGCCACAGGGGCAGGAAATCAGAAAAGCTAGGAGACCAATAAGCTCTCCGGGTCAAATTCCATTTTACAAATGAGGAAATAGTGGCCCAGAGAGGCCAAGCAATTTATCCTGGGCCCCACAGGGAATTAGCCGCTCAGCCTGTATCCAGCCTGCTAGAGGAGAAGGGGAGGGGAGGCCCCATGCGTGAGGGAAACTGACTCTCACCGCCCCATTTAACCCTGTCCAAGCTGTCCTGGGACCGGACACTTAGATACTCAAACCAGGAAAGTCCTGGGCTAACAAGGATGAGCTGGTCATGCTATCTCCTAGTGAGGTGTCTAAATGGACATTTTCCAGAACGGGGCCCTGGGATGGAGCTGGCTGGGGAGAACCTCTAAGGCCCCGTAGAAGTGCTGGGCTTCACGCCTGTGGTCCCTGGGGTACCACCCACGTGTCATCCCAGGGGCCTCTGGAATGGCCCATCACCCAGCATCCTTCCTTACACCTCTCCAATCTGTCCCCCCAACGCCCCCAACAGCCGGAGTGCTCTTCCTGAACTGTAAACCCACTGGCCCCGTACCCCAGTCTACCAGTCCAACTAGTGTCTCATTTCTCCCATGGCTTTAGGACAAACCCTCCCTTTCGCAGGCCTGAGGCCCCCTGGCGGGGCTTGTCCAGTCCCGCTGTGCAGCCTCCCTCTTGAACCCACCCTACCGCTACAATCTCCCAAGCAGGACCGGGATAGCCAGAGACCTAACCATACCTCCCCCCCCTTACACACATACCTTTTCCCACCACCCCACCCTTTCCTCCCACAGAACCAGCACAGTTGTAATCACATAGCTATTTGTATATTTACCGGATTCTTAATATCTAGTCTCTCCCACCCCTGGCTAGACTGTCAGCCCACGGGGACGGGTATGTGATATTCACTTCTGTTTCACAGCCCCTGACTCAGTGGTGACACATGAATGGTGCTCAGTCAACAGTCATCAGGCCTGGCGGGGTGGCTCAGTTGGTTGGAGCATCGTCCTGTACAATAAAAATGGATGTGGGTTCAATTCTTGGTTGGAGCACATACCTAGGTTGCAGGTTTGATCCCCAGTCAGGGCACATACGGGAGGCAATTGATCAATGTTTCTCTCTGACCTCTCTCTGTCTCTCTCTCTCTCTCTCTCTCTCTCTCTCTCTCCTCTTCCCCCCTTCCTCTCTCTCTAAAATCAATTAAAATATATCCTCAGGTGCGGATTAAAAAAATAAACAGTCATCAGATGGACCAACCAGTGCCATCGTCACCTCCAACCAGGCCTCCAGCTGAAGTTACAGAGCCTGTATAGCCACCCTGACCTCCAGCCCCATGCCAGACAGGCTGGGATCCGTCACATGACAGAAAATGATCCCAGAAAAAGACTGGCCGAGGGGCTCCCGGAAGGAGCGATGGCAGCCAGGAGCGCCGTGCTTTTTCTTTCATTATTGTACCTGTCTATACACTCTTTCTTGGCTCTGTTCACATTCCTACTCCAGCACCAGCTCAGGAAAAAAAAAAAAAAAAAAAAAACATTAGCTGCAGGGTTTGAGACAAGCTAGCTGGCTGGTTCCTTCTCTGCTTGTAATCAACGCTGAAAATGTTCACGACTTGCTTTGGCCGCAGAGGTAGTAAGAAAACGGCGCAGCCTGATTATCTGGCTACTAATTACCTCCTTGCTTTTTCTTTCCCCTTTCCTGAAATTAATTCCAGAGTTCCCCCACATTTCTCGTTGCTAAGCTATAAAGTTCCAGCTTCCACAGCGCCCATGCCAATTGGCAGGGAGCTCCCGGCCGCTCCAATCACAGGCAGATGCTGAAAGGAGCATCCACGTCGCAGCTCGCCCCGGGGGGTTCTGGAATGTTCCCGCTGACGTTATGAACCGCAAAGATCTTTGTCTAAGTCTGAAAAACCTGTTTTCTCAGTCTCGTCTGCCTCTCTCTGGATCGCAGGCTGCCCGGGAATGCCAGGGGTCCTGCAAGGTCCCTGGGAATAACAGGGTGTCCCTGGGTTGCCTGGGTGGGGTCAGTGCCAGAGCAGCCCTGGGCCCACTCGTGGTCGACTAGACTACAGCAGAGTGCCCTGCCACGGGCATGAGGGGAGCCACAGCCCCAGAACTAAGCTTGGTGAAAGGCTGCAGGAGGCTGAGGGAAAGTGGATGCTAAAGAATATGGGGTTGCTGGGGTGGAGGCCACGTTTGCAAAGGACTTAAAACACGTGGATGGAGAGCCATCCTCATGTCCACCACCAGGATCCTAATGCAAACAGCCACCAGGAACTGAGCACCTGCTGTGCACCGGAAACAGAATTTTTATTTTTTAGACCACTTTATTGAAGCATGGTTGACTTCCAAAATTGTACATATTTAATGTATGCAACTTGATAAATTTGGAGATAAGCCTACACCCATGAAGCCATCACTAAAATCTATGCCCTAAATATCACCTCCAGAAGTTCCCTCCTGCCCTCTTTATTAATCTTACTAGAGGCCCAGTGCACGAAATTTGTGCACGGGGGGCTGGGGGTATCTCCTCAGCCCAGCCTGCACCCTCTCCAATCCAGGACCCCTCGATCCTGGACTGCTGGCTCCTAATCGCTCGCCTGCCTGCTTGCCTGGTCGCCCCTAACTGCCCCCTCCCTGCCGGCCTGGTCGCTCCTAACTACCCCCGCCCCGCTGGCCTGGTCGCCCCCAACTGCACCCCCCCACCAGCCTGGTCTCCCCTAACTGTCTCCCCTGCCGGCCTGATCGCTCCACACAGCCTACTTGTTTAGTCATTTGGTCGTCCCTCACTAACCCCCCTGCCAGCCTGGTTGTAGGCAGCCATTTGTGAGGGTGTGACTGTCAATTTGCATATTACCTCTTTATTATATAGGATTTTTGTAATGAGAATGTTTGACATTAACTCTACCCTCTTAGCAAAAATGTTAGTGTACAGTAGTACAGTGCTAACTGCCACCACATACTGTACATTAGAGGCCCAGAGCTCACTAACACGTGTGCCCCTGGGCCAGTGACTCCCCATTTCTCCCTCCTCCCAGCCCTTGGAAATTCCCCATTTTACTCTCTGGTTCTATGACAGGGACTCTTTTAGGTGCCTCATAATGAGTGGAATCACGCAGTATACTGTCCTGTGTCAGCTTATTTTACTCAGCATGATGTCTTCCAGGCTCATCCATGTGTTCACATAAGTCAGGATTTTCTCCTTTTTATGGCTGAATGATATTCCATTGTATGCATATACCACATGTTCTTTGTCCACTCATCTGTCATGGGATATTTAGGTTACTTTCACCTCTTGGCTATTATGCCAGAAACTTTTAGATACACAGCTCCTACCACCCAGAAACTCCCATTGGACAGACTGAGAACATGCTGGAGGCTGGTTTTGTTTGTACTGCTTCCACCTTAGTCACTAAGGGAAGCCAGGCCACAGGGGAAGTCGTGTGACCCAAGCCTGACCACATTGATTGGCTCTGGGATGGGCACATGACCAAGTCTGGCCAATCAGAATCTTCCTTGAACAGCCTTTACTGCCAGAACTATAGGAAAACACATCCCTCCCACACCCACACCCACCCCACCTGCCAATGGATTTGCTGAGCTGGCAAACCATAGTGGGAGGAAGGTGTCTGAGGGACATGAATCCCCTGTGACAATGTTCGAGCCCCGGATGCAGCCAGGGGAAGTCAGATCTATTCCCTAGATTTTCGTTACAAACAGTGAATTCTTTGTCTGTTAAAGCCAATTTGTCTTGTGAGTCCCTGTGTGTAACTGACAGAGTGTAGTACAGACAGTCACTTTTCCTCATGGTGTCTGGCTCTAGGTTGGGCAAATTGCATGCATTCCCACATAGGATCTTCACAATCACCTGCTGAGGTATTCCATTTTGCAGATGGGAAAACTGAGGCTCAGAGGGGTGAGGGAGTCTTGCCCAGATAATACTGCCAGTATGTGCTCAGGGATTCAAACCTGGGCTAATTCCTAGATGTCTTGGTGGTCCCTCAGATTCAACTTGTCCAAAA